ACTGGGATACCACTTGACGGAGCCTGGAGTGGCCCATGGCTCACATGTCATAAATACTGTCACCTGCAGGCACCTAATCAGCTTGCTGCTCCCTCTCCATTGGTGCAAACCTACAACCACGCATCTCACCACAGGCCTTGAGCTTTTACTGCGAAATGCTCAAAATATTTTCACATGATTAAAAATAACTAAAAAGGAGAGAGATTTTATTCTATATAATCCATATTTGCTATTTAGACAGAAATAATAACAGAACTAGTAATAATATTAATGTATTAGCTTGGTATTCCTCTTCCACTGGTAATACTTAGATCTTTTTTCTTAAAGATTTTATTTATTTATTTATTTGAAAGATAGAGTTACTGACAGAGAGAGGGAGAAACAGAGAGAAGTCTTCCATCTGCTGGTTCACTCCCCAAATGGCCGCAACAGCCTGAGCTGGGTCAATCAGGGTCTCCCATGCTGGTGCAGGGGCCCAAGGACTTGGGCCATCTTCCACTGCTTTCTCAGCCTTAGCAGAGAGTTGGATCGGAAGTGGAGCAGCAGGGACTCTGCCAGCGCCACAGGCAGAGGTTTAGCCTGCTATGGATCTACTGTATGGCTGTACCTTGAGTGAAACTGCTACTATAGGGGATTTTTCCATTATAATTAATACAATCATTAATTCAGATAGTCAAAAGTCAAAATTTTGTAAGTTTGGCTAATTCTGGTTTTTCTGCAGCAAATTTTTACTGAGGGTCTACTGTGTGGCAGGCTGGGCCAGAGGCTGGGGATGCTATGGTGAAGCAGCAAAGTCCTGTGATTCCAGTGTGACGATGGCCACGGGCCTGATTACCCCTGACTCCACTGATACCATCCAGCTACCGAGCCTGCTAAACTGCAGCGCAAACTGCGAGTTGCATGAAGTCTTATCTGACACAGCCAGGCAGTCCTGCCTTCATGACCACCCTCAGACGTGAGGGAAGAGAAGGGAAGGAGGAAAGACTGGCCTTTCTAGTCCAGGCACTAACAACCCCGGACGGTGGCCGAAGCCGAGGAGCAGCACCGACACTTGGAAGGCACAGTTACGACTCACTTCTCTTACGTTCCCCTAAAGCCAATGGAATCCTGTGATACTGGGCTCTGGAGACACACGTGTGGTCTCCTACCCCAGGCTCCTGACCCAGGTTCTAACACCCTTGGATCTTCAGGGAGATGAGGGAGGCTCCTGCAACAAGATGGCTGGTGGCTGGGGCCCCTCGGCTGGCTTCAGGATGGGATCTGGTCACCAGTGTGGCTAGATCGAGACGCAGAGCTGGACTCGGAGCCCCAGCCTACAGACCTCTGTGGAAGGGAGAGGGGGCTGGGGGTCTGTCAATCACCAGTGGCCGGTGACTGAATCAATCACACCTGCATAATGGGACCCCCGTGAAAACCTCATGTGAGCGCTTCCGGGTGGCGAACACACCCTCACGTCACGAGACAGCACACCCCACCCCCACGGGGACGGAGGTTCCCGAGCTCAGGACCCCTGCGGGCTCTGCTCCGTTACCTCTTCTTCTAGTTGTCTGTGGCAGTAAGGAAGGGGTTCTCTGAGCTACGTGAACGATTATCACACATTACTGAACCCCTAATCTACAACTGGAGAGGAGTGTGGGTGAGTGTGGGTAACCCAACTGGAATCTGAAGTGGGGGCCTGAGCTGTTCACCTGTGGGGCTTGCACTAACTCCAGCTCATGTCAGAACTGTGTGAATTGTAGGCCACCCAGCTGGCGTCTGCAGAGAATTGGAGAAAATCCCAGGTGTGCTGTGAGAATCCCACACGTCTGCTGTGGTAGGACCCTCATAGCTCGTGGCAGATCCCTGGAGGGAAAGGGGCGGTGGGCTCAGTGAAAAGATCCCTGTAACGGAATTACATAGCCAGTCTGGGGAAGCACACCTTAAATCTTTTACAATTATTTTATTACCCAATTAAGGTAATCATTTTTTAAAATACTTTGATTTATTGACCTGAGAGTCAGAGACACTAGCTCACTGGCTCCCATCCACTCTCCAAATGCCTCTGATGGCCTGAGGCCGGGGGCTCAAGCCAGGTCTCCCAGTGCAGGGGCAGCAACCTATTTCCTGAGCCGTCACCACTGCCCGTGAGGGTGTGCATTAGCAAGAAGCCAGAGCCAGGGCCGGGGCTGGGGCCGGAGTCAGACACAGGCGCTGCGATGTGGGACACTGGCCTCCTATCTGCCAGGATGAGTGCTGGCTCCAGGGCAGTACATTTTGATAGGGAGGAAATCAAACTGTGCCAGCCCGATCCTGGAGGAAGAGGGGCCGCACGCTAGCTGTGGCCATGCGCTCCGCCTCCCGGCCTCTCCCGCAGGAACAGCGTGGATGGGCACAGAAGTTCTGGCTGCACAGCCTCCCGGCTGTCTCAGCTGCACGTGGGAAAGCCGCTACTGAGTTCCGTGAGGCCGCTCAGTTGGCAGCTGGGCCTCCAGCTCGAGAGGACTCTCACGTGGGCCCAGTTTTAACCTGTGAAGCAGACGGAAGGCCATTTGTACCTAAATCTTCGGAGTGGCGTCTCTTACCTCACACCGCGGTGGGGAAAGCTGGGGGAAGACCAATTTGCACCAATGCAGGCTATGGACAGTCTTCGGAGACTGCCGGGACATGAGCTCCGGGCCCAGCCAGAAGGAATCCTGAGACACGGGCACACGGCAGCTTATGAACGCAGGCGGCCCCTCCCTGTCTAGCTGCTTACTCCACCAACCTTAAGGATGGCGCTCTTGCACAGAACGGAAGGGCAAGGTTGCTGGAGCAAATGTGCAGTTATTTAGCCAGCTGTGTGCAAGTCAGCTGGATGTGAAACCACAGCGGTGGCAATTCTCAATTCTTGGATTATGCAGCAATCCATAAAATTAAAAAACAAAGTGCCGGAAATTCTGCTACTACTGCGAAAATAAATATCCACAGTGTCCACAGTCTTAGTTCCAAAAGGGACTTCTCAGGGAAGGTGGGAGGGGTGGTAATTAGTGGATCACTTTGAGGTGGCCCACGCAGGGGTGGGATGAGGAGGCACCCAGCCAGTGGGCGGCCCTGAGGAGTTTAGGAAACGAGGGGCCCCGGGGTCAGCAGCATGGGAGGCGAGCAGGGTGGGTCTGCTGACTCCCAAGGGGATGGGACTGGGAGACGAGCGCAGGGCAGACAGCCTGGGTCCTTGCCCTCCACGCCAGGCGCCCTCCATCTGCCTCTCTGCCTGTGACTCCTCAGAAAACGGAAGGGCTGTACTTTGCCACCCCACCCTTACAACGTGAAGTTAAGAGTGCTCCTGCGACCTGCTCTGGCCAGGGCACTGAGCTGTGAGTGGAGTTAAGAGTGGTCCCGCTACCTGCTCTGGCCAGGGTGCTGAGCTGTGAGTGGAGTTAAGAGTGGTCCTGCGACCTGCTCTGGCCAGGGTGCTGAGCTGTGAGTGGAGTTAAGAGTGGTCCCACTACCTGCTCTGACCAGGGCACTGAGCTGAGAGTGGAGTTAAGAGTGGTCCCACGACCTGCTCTGGCCAGGGCGCCAAGCTTCGAGTGCCGTGTGTCACGGGCAGAAGCACGCACTGGCTGGACGTGGTTCTTCACCTGCTGTCCTCCTGCCCTGCCTGTGTCAACACCAACAGCTGCAGAACTGCAGTAGGACCGAGGCCACGAACTTTGTGTAAGTGGGGAAAGAGCAAAACCAAACCAGCTTTTGTTACACTGAGGCCTTCTGTAGAACGGGGCTGTATCTCTGCCAGCGTCCCCCGCCCCCAGGGCCTCGCTACCTTCTCAGCCTCTCTGGCAATCTGCCTCCATGCCCCTCTCCTGCTTCTTCCTTCACCACCCACCCCTTCCTGCTCTCTCCTTTACTCTATGACTCCACTGCTCTCCTAACCTGGGAACACAGTGTTTTATGTTCTTGTTTGTTTCGTTTTGAGAAGCAAAGAAACAGACATTCACTGGTTTATTCCCCAAATGGCCTCGAGGACCAGAACTCTGGGCCGAAACCAGGGACTGGAACTCGATCCAGGCTTCCCACCTGGGGGGCAAGGGTCCAACTACTTGAGTCCTCACTGCTACATGAGCAGGAAGCTAGACTCTGGAGCCGGGGCCAGGACTTGAACCCAGTGCTCCGATCTGAGACACAGGCATCCTACCCGTCTGGGCCTGACACTCATTCTCTATCTGCAATACGAATAAATTTGTATTTCCAGGAAAAAAAGGGCTGATTTTTTGAATTAAACATTTTGTGTTTCTGTCTTGATACACAAAAGAGCCTCAAGGTAAACTAAATTATCCGCTTTAGCTTGTGTAAGAATAAAAGTATGCTTTGAAAACCTTACTGTGTTATGTAAACAAGTGCTGTTACCATTGTGGATAGGCTGTCAGTTGATTTTTCTTGTGTGGCTTCCAGAAAGAATACAAACGATCATAAATCTTTCCTCGAAGACCATGCAACAGCCATGCAGCTCAGAGTCCCAGCGCTCGCAGGGTCCCCAGCCCCTCCGCTGTCCTCGGTGACGGTGTTAGGAGGCCAGTGGAGCCAGTGCGTCCAGAAGCTATTCAAGACCACAGGCATCCAAGGCTGTCAAAGGAAGCACTGGTGCTCATGCACACTCACCCACGACACAGCCTTTGGACCTGAAGTCTCCCCCACTACCCTGAAAGTGGCTTCAAGCAGTTAAAGTCACTCCAGACACAGACTGGCAAAGAATGAAGAAGCAATGGTAGCCTGACCAATCATGCATATTTAAATAAACACAACAGATGTGCACTGGGGGAAAAAACCAACAAGCTCTGGTTTCAAGAACATGCTTCACTGGGTAGACATGACGCGCAGTTTCCGGGCACTTGACAACACCAGCTCCTGAGGGTTTACGCACGGCCAATCCCTCATAGATGGTGTTGTGCGGGGAGGAGACGAGAGGCAACAACATTTATATGAAGAACAGGAAAACATGCAAAGGGGCAAGAGTCTGGCAGAGAATTCTGAAGTTCACTTACTGCCTGCTTTTGCTCTTCCTCCTAGAGGTAGTTGAAGATGAATAAAGACAGAGGGAAAAAAGAAGAGAAATTAGTGCCCGCCACCACAAACCCTGGGAAGCAGCGATGGGAGCCATCAGGCAAGTGGGGCCTCGTGCGCCCTGTGAGTGTCGGAGGACGCGGCAAGCGGAGGCCTCTGCGCCGTCCGATGACTTCTACGCTGGCTTCTGGAGCTGAAAGAACCTTAGAAACCATCTAGTGCAACTTCCTTATTTACCGCTCAGAGAGGCCAAAGAGCTTGACCTGCAGAGCGTCGTGTAACTATTTAGAACCACCCGAAAGAGGAAGTTCACGAGGGCCTGACCACTTTCAGAACCACTCCATGGCTCCACCTGCAATGTGTACCTGGGCAGCAGCTCTCCGAGTGTGACGACACCCCTGCACAGGAGCAGCAGCAGTGCCTGGGAGGTTGTTGAAGGGCAGACTGTGCCCCGCCCCGGGCCCCGCTGAATGGGGCACAGCCTTAGCCGATTCCCTCGCACACTGGTTTGAGAAGCAACCAGCGACTCCTTCCGCCCCCAGGGCCACTTGGCATGCGGTGGCCTCCCCGCGGTGAACTGAACGTGCTGGAACTGCACGCCTCCACTTGCCGTTGGGCTGCTCTGCTGTTCTTCCCGGGGACGACACACACGCCACTTCCCCTGTAGCCTGGAAACTGCCTCGGGATCTTGGAAAGCTTCCCCAAAAAGAAGTCTCTCGATCTCAGTTTTTCGTGGCTTGCTTTGTGATTTCTTGCACGTGGGCACTGGAAATCAAGATACCGACTCTTTTCGAGTGCTGTATGCAGACCAAGCACCTGCTAAGTACCAGTGGATTGACCGGACGTGGCAGAAAAGGAACCCAGCACACGAGATAAACACTAGGTGCTCGGCTCCTCTACGACTGGGTCTCTTCCTCCTTCTGTGCTTCCCCGGGGGAAGCAGTGGTCAAACAGCCTTGGCTCTTCGCCTCTGTATGTTCATCTACAGTGGTTGCAAGGGTTCTGCTTAAGCTGGGTCCATCCACGCTGGCAGTCTTCATTGAATATGGGTCTAGGAGGCCATGAACGGAAAAACGCTCCTGCCCCAACGCCATGGCAAGGAAGGTTTCAGTAGAACAAAGAATTACAAAAAGGAGGGCCTGAGTAACGACTTAGGGAAAAGCGGTTTTTTATTCTTGCAAGGGAGAGACGTGGACTAGAAATTAAACAGGCACCGAGAAATCTCTCGTGGAGATTTCAGCTCCGCACAGGAAGGTGCTGTTTGTAGCCAAGGCCGGCTGCCAGCAGCCTGACCGACCCCAAGGTCCCGGGGCCTGGGCAGGGCGCCTGAGGCGGGGAAGCGACAGTTTCCGCCTTCGCTCCCTGGACAGGTCCTTCCCAGAGGGGCAGATGCCTTTCTCATCCACTGCGCAAGGCCAAGTAGAAGCGTGTTTTTAGTGCTGGCACCGAGCGTCAAAGTGCCTGTCCTCTCGGGCTGAAATCGGGGTCCGAGGGCACAGCGCAGCGGGCTGAGTTCTTGGAACTGTTTCTGAGACACTGCCCCACTGTCACTGTCTCCCCAGCAGTGGTAATGGAGACAGGCACTGCTCAGTTCAACAGAACCGGGAGCTCGAGTGAGCAAGGCTTCGTGCTTGCACGCGTGGTGGCTGCTGTGAGGTTTATCCAAGACCTGAAATCATTCAGTGTGCAGCAGACATGTGTGTCAGCTCGGGTGCGGGTTGGTGGACAGGGCAGCATCCTCAGGGCTTGGAGGCCTCCTGTGGGTACACAGGCTGGGGGAGGGCGGACTGTGGCAAAGGGTCACTTGGGCTGGTGCTGTATAAACTCCCCAGAGTCATTCCCATAGAGCCTCTAAGGCTCTGTCAACACAGCAAAGACGGCAGATTGAAGGTCACCCAGCCTCCTGCTATCCGTCAATCACCTGCGATCAGCAAACACCAACTGATGACAAGGTGACAGCCAGTGATTTAAAGGGGGTCATAACACTTTAATTGCAAGGTCAAATCTAGAACGACCCGTGTCACCTAAAAACATGTGAGCTTCCCCATGTCCAGGGAAGTCTGGCTGAATGGCAAACATCCCACTCAAACACCTGCAAAGGGAGGTGAAACCCAAACGTCGCAAAAATGGAAAAAGAAAAAAGATATTAGGGGCATGAATGAGAGTCTGAAAAACCAACTCACCCACTCATTTCCAGTGAAATAAGATGTTTGAGACAGGGGTTACCTATCTATCCATCTATTTATCTACTCATTAATCTGGGGAAAATGTAAGGAAAAGATATGCTCAGAAACCTGGTCCCTGCGTGTTGGCCTCTCTTATGTCATCAAGAAAATTAACCCAGAGGGCCGGCGCTGTGGCGCAGCAGGAAAAAGCCACTGCCTGCAGTGCCGGCATCCCATACAGGTGCTGGTCAGAGCTAGCTGCTCCACTTCCAACCCAGATCTCTGCTAATGTGCCTGGGAAAGCAGCAGTAGATGGCCCAAGTGCTTGGTTGGGCCCCTGTGCCCACATGGGAGACTCCTGGCTTTGGATCAGCCCAGCTCAGGCCTTTGCAGCCATTTAGGGAGTGAACCAGTGGATGAAAGATTCTCTCTCTCTCTCTCCCTCTCTCTCTCGTAACTCTGCCTTTCAAACAAACAAACAAATAAATAAATAAAGTTTTTTTTTTTTTAAGAAAGAACCAAACAAACTAGAAGAGGAGTTAGTCTATACACTTCTCTTCACCAGATACCTAACAGGACACTTTAATCCATGTGTTAAATAAATATCTGCTGACTTGTTATCCTGCCTTATTCCCAAGCAAGGGATTAAGACCTCTGCTGGGGTTGGTGCTATGGCGTAGCGGGTAAAGCTGCCATCTGCCGTGCTGGCATCCCACATGGGTGTTGGATTGAGACCCGGCTGCTCCATTTCCAATCTAGCTCTCTGCTATGGCCTGGGAAAGCAGTGGAGAATGGTCCAAGTCTTTGGGCCCCTGCACCTGTGAGGGGACCCAGAGGGGACCCAGAAGAAGATCTTGGCTCCTGGCTTCAGATCGGCGCTGCTCCAGCTGTGTGGCCATTTTGGGAGTGCACCAGCAGATGGAAGACTTCTCTCTTTCTATCTCTGCCTCTGCCTCTCTGTAACTCTGCCTTTCAAATAAATAAATAACTCTTAAAAAAAAAAAAAAAAGACCTCTGCTGAGAGGCCAGCACTGTGGCACAGCTGGTTCAAGTCCTAGCCGCTCCACTTCCAATCCAGCTCCCTACTAACACACCTGAGAAAGCAACAGAAGATGGCTAGACCAAAGCCTGGAACTCCATCTGGGTCTTCCACTGCCTCCCCAGGCATATTAGCAGGGAGCTGGATTGGCAGTGGAGAAGCCAGGATTCAAACTTGCACTCATGTGGGATGCTGGGGTCACAGGTGGCAGCTTAACCTATTGTGCCACCAACGCTGGCTCCAAGTATTTTTTTTTTAAACTAGAAAAACATGTTTGGGGTTTTAATAGAAGTCAATAATTCCTACCTGTGATCTTTTAGAAAAACATATAATACACACATTAAGATTATGAAGGAATTCTTTTAGGACACTGAATACTAAAAGCATGTTTTCAGCTGTGAGTTGCATTCAATAGATAAAAAGATAACATTCCTAGGAGTGTGTTTGCAAATCTCCTTCTCAGTCTGATTGGCCTCAGACTGTCAGATGGGTCAAGGATAAGGCATTTAACAACCTGGTAGGGAATCCTACCCAGCGGGCAGCGGGGTCTCACTTATTTTACTGAAATTATAACTGTAAGAGAATCGTTAGAAATATAAAGGAACTTAAACTCTGCGATGAGAGTTCCAGCATCAGCTCAGGCTGCTAAGCTTGTTTTAGACATTTATTTATTTGAAAGAGAGAGAGAGAGAGAGAGAGAGAGAGAGAGAGAGAGAATGCTTCCATCCACTGGTTCACTCCCCAAATGGTCACAACAGACAAGACTGGGTGGGCCAGGCCAAAGCCAGGAGCCAGGGACTCCATCTTGGTGTCCCGTGTGGGTGGCAGGAACTAAATACTTGAGCCATTATCCACTGCTTCCTCCCAGGAGTGTTAGCCGGGAAGCCAAGACATGATCCAACACTCTGATTTGGGATGCAGGCGTCTGGGCACCATGGTGTTGGCCCCCTCTGCCTAGCTCTTGAATGCCAGCATTGGTGGGAACGCGTCACAGCAGGATGTAGGGGCTCGCTGCCAGGGCTCCAAGAGGACAATCAGAGTCAAGAGAAAGCGCACTGTGTTACTTAAGGCGAATGCATTCTGCTTCCCCTTCAGTTTGCAGGAAGTGTTTGTCTTTCCCAAAAATCACAATGGGGCACCTTCCCGCCCACACGTGGGTCCTGTGTGAGAGCGGCTTTCACACAGGAGGAGGCAAGCAGCTCCCTCTAGGACAGCTCGTCCTGCAGGGGCACCAGCTCCACAACAGCCCCACATGGCTCCAGATGTCACACAGGCCACACGCACGGGCTCCTCAAAGAGTTCATGGGAAATGTGGGCTATGGAAAAACTGTATGGATTTCAATATTGCTTTTACTGTATCATTATTTACTTTATTGCTATTTATTATTCTGATTTTATTTTTTGCATCCCACAAACTTTCTGAAGCATCCTCATTTGTTTGAGTCCATCTCTGCCATTTGAATGGGTGACTGGGCTGCTCAGCTGGATACCTGACAATCACAAGAGGAATCTAGGCCACGTTTCATGCATAAGGTTTTCTTTAAACGAGACACATTCAGATGCACAATATTTCTGAGGAGTCCTGTTACCGGGGTTAATGCAGAAACACGTCCATGCAAAACAACCAGACACCCGGGGTGCAGCTCAAGACTCAGAAGGTCTAGGAGGTCTAGGAGGTCTAGAAAGTTGGTTTAAGATACAAACGCTGCTCCATTCATCCAAGCTGCTAATACCCATTGGCTTCACTGTTCAGTAGCTGGCATTTTCTTGGGTTCTCATTCCTAGATGGACCGCAGTCCCTCCGGCCCGCCTGGAGGCTCTCACCAGTCTCCCACCCCCCTTCAGTTTACCTGCCTGCTCTCCCTCCCTGTGGTTTTGAAAATCCTCAGTGACTTCCTGAATCCCAGCACGGCGTTCGGCCCCCAGCCTGGCTGTGCAGGAGCTCCGCACGTGTGCGAGGCTGCACTCTGCCTGCCAGCTCCGTGTCGCGCTATGAAACACAGAGGGCTCACAGCCCCGGCAGGCAGGACCTCGGCATCCATCAGCATGAGCACGCGCCCTGGCACTGTCCCTACACAGCCGGCTGAATATTCCCACTCAGTGCCAGCAAAGCTGTCCCGGTGAGGACTCTGGAAGCCAGGCACACCTTTCTCTGCTCAGGGGTACACGGGCTCTCATGCGCTTTTCAACAAAAATTAGTGAGACCTGAATTATTCTGGATTTATCAGCCCCCAGTACACACCATGTAGAGCCAATGTGCTATTTCATTCCTGGGATAGTGAAGTATTGATCAGAACTGGTCTGACCAGGTTGGCGTGTGGGACGGTTCCTGGCTTCTGGGACACCAGGGAGCTGCAGAGCTGACCTCTGGGTGTAGCTGTGAGGGTGCTTCCAGAGGAGACACGTGACCCAGAAGACTGAGGAGGGAAGGTCGCACCATGCAGGCTCCCCGCAGCACCCCGGGGACCGGGCAGGACTCGAGGCAGCCGCAGGGCCGCGTCCTCCTCCCCTGCCCCTGGACGTCCGAGCTGCCCGGGGCCCCAGGCGTTCAGATGCAGACTGCATCACCCCGCCTGCCTTCCTGGGCCTCCAGCTTGCGGACGGCAGATCATAGGGCTCCTCTGACCGGAAACCCAGGGAGCCAGTGCCTGCGACAGATCCCCTCCCGCCCATTTATCCAAAGACCTATCTTACGGCTGCTCTTTCTCTGGAGAACCCAGTGCAGTTTGCCTCTGGACCCAATATCTGTTAAGTATTTAGGTGGAATATTTGAAAACATGACTTAAAAGAACGTCTTAAGTAGCTGGGAAATATTTGTACATGGCTAATAAAACATTCTCATTGGGTCAAAAAGGCGTCCACTCGAGGTTACCCTGCTTGCAGTCATCAAGTTGTACAATAATCAGGCTTTGCGCTAACTTTGCTGTTTTACATCCAGTTAGGCTACCTGACACTGGCTCCAGGAAGTGACGTTGACGTCAAGCCCTGAGCCCCATGCCGTCCGATGCCGTGGGAGGGCGGGGGCTGAGGCTGTGCTGGGTGGGAGGGCGGGGGCTGAGGCTGTGCTGGGACACTGGGGGCCCGCGGGTGCAGGAGTGCGAGGGCCCCGGCCTTACCTTCAGCAGCCTCATCAGCCCCTCCAGCTGCACCATCAGCTCACGCCGGCTCTCCTGCAGCGCTGACATCCTCTGCTCCAGTTCGTCTTTCCTCTGCCTGTCCACGAGGAAAAGCCCATCAAGACGGAACTCGGGGGACAAAGGGACCCTCAAAGAAGGGCCCACTGCTGGGTGAAAGGGATTTATTTTTTTTTTTTTATTTATAAAATTTTTTTAGGGGCTGGCATTCTGGCGTAGCGGGTAAAGCTGCTACCTGCATTGTGGCTCTGGTTCATGTCCCAGCTGCTCCACTTCTGACCCAGCTCCCTGCTATGGCCTGGGAAAGCAGCAGAAGACGGCCTAGTGCTTGGGCTCCTGCCACCCAGGTGGGAGTCCTGGAGAAGCTCCTGGTTCCTGGCCTCAGCCTGGACCAGCCCCAGCCATTGCAGCCATTTGAGGGAGTGAATATGCTGACGGAAGAGTTCTGTCACTCTTTCAGAATAAATAAAATAATTTAAAAAAAATTTTACATTTATTTATTTGACAGTGAGGCAGAGATAGAGCTATTTAGAGAGAGAGTTTAATCTTCCACTGCTGGGTCATTCCCCGAATGGCTGCAATGGCTGGGGCTGGTCCAGGCTGATGCCAGAAGCCTGAAATTCTGTCCGGGTCTCCCACATGGGTGGCAGGGGCTCAACTACTTGGGCCATCTTCCATTGCCTTCCCAGGCGCATCAGCAGAGAGCTGGACTGGAAGTGGAGCAGAACAGCTGGAGTTCACACCGGTGCTGATATAGGATGCCACCATCATGAGCAGCGGCTGCACCTCAACACCGGCTCCTCTGCTGCTACTGTATCAGTGGTGATAACGTGTTATCTGTTTTGCCTACTCTCCTGTACTGCTGTGAGGTTAACAGGTAAAAGTGCTTTGGAAAATGCATGTTGCCATACAGAGAAAAAGGGTTAAATAAATTAAATTAGTGGTACTGGAGGCAGGAATTTGGCCTTGCAGTTTGCAGTTAAGATGACTGTGTACCACATCAGAGTACTAGGTTCAGCACCTGCTTTGTCCTGGTTTCTACCTTCCTGCTAATGCACACCCTGGGAGGCAGCTCGTGGCTGAAGCAACTGGGTCCCACGCCAGAGACCTGAATTGAGTTCTCTGCTCCTGGCTACGGCCTGGCCCAGCCCCAGCAGTGTGCAGGTATTTGGGGAGTAAACTAGCAGATGGCAGCTTTGTCTCTCTGCCTCTCAAAAAAAAAAAAAGCACTTTCCCATGTAGTCCATGTTATATTTCTATCTAGGAGCACAGTTCTGGTCCCACCCGCATTCCTGTCTTAGTGCCTTACCCCCTTCCCTCTGCCTCTGGACTCCAGCCAATGGTTCACTGTTCCCTGACAGATGCATCACTTTCTGACTCACAGCGAACCCAAATCTTATTAATTCCTTAATGTCTGCACCGAGCAGAGCTGTGTCCAAGAAGCTCTCCTGATCACAAAGGCGGGGCCTGCTTCATGAATCGCTGGCCACACAGCGATCACTGCTGCTCTGGGGCACTTCACCTTGCATGCCTGTCATTCCTGCCACCACGTAAAACCCTTGCCATCAAGGGGTGAGCCTCACTCACCTTTGCATGTGAGGAAGGGTTCAGAAAGTATGCAGCCGGCAGCTGCTCCCTGAACATTTACTGAGCCCAGTGAGATCATGGCCTCACTATTTAGGATCTACAGGATCTGCCCTCAATTGCTTCAGTACTCTGGGGCTGGCAATGTGGTGTAGTAGGTTAAGCCTCCCACTGCGGCACCAGCATCCCATGTGGGCATTGGTTCAAGACCTGGGTGCTCCTCTTCCTATCCAGCTTTCTTGCTAATGTGCCTGGGAAAGCAGCGGAAGGTAGCCCGACTGCTTGGGAGACCCAGAAGAGGCTCCTGGCTCCGGATTGGCCCAGCTGTGACCAATATAGCCTCTTTGGAAGTGAACCAGAGAATGGAAGACCTCTCTCTCTCTCTCTCACTCGCTCTGCCTCTCTGTAACTCTGCCTTTCAAATAAACAAATAAGTCTAAAAAAAAAAAAAGTAGAGGAGCTGGGACTGGAACTGGCACTCTGATTACAGGATGTGGGCATCCCAAGTGGTGCCTGACCACTGCATAAACTGCCTGCCCCTTTGTGTGTCTTTTGATAAATGAAAGTTCTTAATATTAATGTAGAGGAATTTACCAACCTCTTCCATAGTTAATAATTCTCAGGAATGATTTTCTATTCTAAACTCCTGAAGAAATTTTCCTAGTTCTTCCTAACATTTTTTTAAGTTGTGCATTCTTGTTTGATCCATCTGGTGTTGGTTTTTGCACACAGTGTGAGCTGGAGAGTCAATATGCTTCTCCATTTGTACACACTTATTGAACACCCCTCCTGTCCTCAGTGAGGACAGACACTGCTCTGGGGACTGAAAGCCTCCGCTTTCTCAAGCTCGAGACTGCCCTGGACTTGGATTAAGCCCTGCTTCCTGCTGACCTAGGTGACACCCCGGCCTCCGCCTGTGCCTACTGAATCCGCGCTGGTGTTTAGATCTTTCCAGCTTAGCTGAGCACTTTCAGCCAGCCCAGTTCCAACAACACCTGCACTCACAGATGACAGTGTTTTGCTTCTGAGATACAGAGTCACTAGTGCCCGAGCTGAGACGAGGGAAAGAAGGCAGGGCATCTACTGCTGGTGGCCCAGGGTTAGCCTCTGCTCGCCACAGCAGCAGGGCTTCCCACTTCCTCCTGAGACCACGCTCATATCCCAAATGTGCGACACTCAGCCACAGAGCAACCAGATCTCAGCCCAGCGAAACACCGAAACAAAAGTGCATTTTAATAACAGAACAGGAATCTCAGTACCTCTAATGGTTTTCATCTACACAGTTTATGACTTACTTATTGATGACTTAAATGTAAACAACAGAATATCTATGGAAAGAAATAATCTCCATTTTACAGGAAAAGTTGTGGTGGAGGGGCTAACTGACCTAAGCCACACTAACCAGACAAACAATGATAAAAAAGGGTACTTGCTGTGTGGAATCCCCGATGACAGCACAGTGCAAACCAACTGTGGACTGTCAAATGCTACAACCTAGGCAGAAAGGACCTATACGGTAATTGGAAACCCAGAGATCTGCTGAGACCACTAAATCATTCAAATCACTAAACCTGGTTTCCACAGAGTCCACCAAAGAGTCCACACGTGTCTTTCTGGGGACGACAAGAAGTGGGACCCTAATGTGGGGTGAGCTCACGCTCCCGCGAAGACTTCCTCAGCCCCTCTGCAAGTTGTCCTGATCCTACCTCCTTAGCTTCTTGGTCCCTGGGACACACACGGTCTTGGTGCGGGGGGTTCCCCTTTAACCCCTGTCTCAGAGGATGAGCCTGGGCGGCCGTGCCTGTGGCGTGCCACGGGAACACACCAGGGTGCTTCAAGAAGTTCATGGAAGACCAGAACTCAGAGACAGGCTTATCTTGGTGCAAAAGAATTTTCAAATCCACGCATAGCTCCCCCCCCACCCCCCATTGCCCTGGAATGTTCTGAAGATTCTTTGTAGGCACGGATTTATTTATTTATTTTTTGGTTGCACCAATACAAAGTTAACTGAACATTTCCCCCTGCTTTGTGAAGCAACGTGGTACTGCTGGGAAAGGGAACCATCATCCCCCCAGGGCCTCTCCCGACAGCCTCCTTCAAGCCACTCCCTGGGGCTGCAGTCGCGCCGCCCGGCTCACCTCAGCAGCCGCAGCTCGGCCAGCAGCGTGGGGTTCTGCTGCGCCTTCTCAGGCGTGGGCTGCGACGCCTGCTCGTGCTCCAGGCGCAGGCGCTGGATCTCCTGCAGGATCTCCCTGCGGGGCGGGACGAGGGCCGGCTGCTCAGCGCGGGGCGTCCACACAGAGCCTCACCCCGCCAGGTCCTGCCGGCTTCCCCGCGGCGGGAGCGTGGCTAAGACCGCATCCCCCAGCTCTTCCCGCAACGCACCCACCCGTCGGTGGTAGGAAAAGTCCTAGGGACGTCTCCACAGGCGGCGAAGGACCCCCGCGGACCCTCTCCCGGGAAGGGGGCAGAGAACCCGGCGGCGCCTCCGGACAAGGGGCCCAGGCCCACTTCTTTCTCCCACCCCGGTACTCTGTCTGCTGTGTGTCTGCTCCCCGTGTCCTTAAATGGCTTGGTAAAAAACAAAACTTTCTGAGGAGACACTGGACGGTCACGTGGAGCGCCATGGGCCTGGACAGGCCGAGCCGAGCACCCGGACCAAAATGCTGGCGGGAAGTCGGGAAGAAGGATCGGGAGCGGGACCACCGGGAGCCAGGAGGCGGCCTGGGGAAAAGAACCCAACTGAGGGGCAGGGGAGTGGGGCTTTGGGGCCGGAACTGGGCCAGCCTCTATCCACTGCGAGGAAAGGGGAGCCCGGTGTCATGGGCAGTCCTGGGCCTGCGGCTCGGCCTGGCCCCAGCGCTTACCTGTTCTTGTTTTCCAGTTCTGCGATGAGCTGTCTTTGTTGTTTGTTGGCATCAAAGTTGAAGCTCAGGTCCGTGGGAGGTCGAGTCTGAAGTGGGGAGAGAGCTGTGGTTGGTCCCCATTCACATATCCCAACGACCCATTCTGAAGGAGAGTACACCCGAGAAATACCCACGTGTTGAAGAGTGCAGGTCAGCGAGTCTTGTCGCTGCAGCGATTTCCACGCTCCCCACCCCACAGAGACCCCCTTGGCATCAGTGATTTCTAATGTCCCCCACCCCAGAGACCCCCCCGGCCGGTCTGCCGTCTCCTGCCCCCACCCTGACCTCCAACTGCCGCTTTATCTGCGTTCTGTCTGGCTCTGCCTTTTCTAGAAACTTCACGTAGCACAATCACACAACAGGTAGTCTTTGGTTTCAGAGGCTGAGCCGGCAGCCCCTTCCTTCCCACTGCTGGGACGTGTCCCGCTGTGTCCGGCTCTGGGCTGTGACGAGCCAGGCTGCTGTGAGCTCTCATTTGCAAGGCCGCGTGCCAATTCCCAGGGGTGCGATCACTGACGTCTGCGGTGACTCTACCTGACCTCTGAGAAACCGCTGAACCCGAACGTGGCAAAGTGGCCGCACAAACCCAGCGTCCCATGTGCGCTGCCACCTCACCAACACTGGTTACTGTCCTCATTTTCACCATCCTTGTGGGGGTGATGGTCATACATGTGAGTTTTTGTAAAAACGGAACTATCACTTACATACCATTAAACTCACTCTTCTAACACGTACGCTTGAGTGGTCTGTAGTGGATTTATGAGGTTGTGAAACTATCACACTAATTCCAGGATATTTCCCCCACCCACAGTGACCATTAGCAGCAGTCACTCCCCAACTCCTCTCCCTCTCCCCCTCACACCATACTTTCTGGATTTGCCTATTCTGGGCATTTTACTTAAATGGAATGAGACACTATGTGACCTTTTTTTTAAAAACATATTTATTTGAAAAGCAGAGTTACAGAGTGATAAGGAGAGACAGAGGTCTTCCATCTGCTTGCTCACCCACCAGATGGCCACAACAGCCAGGGCTGGACCAGGCCAAGGCCAAAAGTTTCATCCAGGTCTTCTACTTGGATGCAGAGGCTCAAGCCCTTGGGTCATCTTCCACTGCTTTTCCTTTTGCATTAGCAGGAAGCTGGATTGGAAATGGAGCAGCCAGGACAGGAACTGGTGCCCGCATGGGATGCCAGGGTCACAGGCGGCAGCTTAACCCACTGCACCACAACGCCGGCCCCCATTATGTGACCTTTTATGTCTTGCTTCTTTCACTTAGCAGAATGTTTTCAAGGTTGATCCACATTGTAGCATGTATCAATACTTTATTCCTTTTTATGGCTGAATACTATTCTGCTATTTAGATATATACCATATTTTACTAATCCTTTCAATAGTTAATAGATATTTGGGTTGCTATGTTAAGTAATGCTATGAACACTTAGGTAGACAGTTATGTTTGGGTTTTTTGTTTTTTTTTTTTTTCCTTGGGTATATATGTAGGAGTGGATTTGCTGGGTCAGATGGTAATTGCTTTTTGAGAAACTGCCAAACTGTTTTCCGAAGTGGCTGCATTACTTTACCTTCCCATGACAGCACATGATGGCTGCAGATTTCCCACATCCTCGCCAACACTTGTGCTGTCCGTCTCTTGACCATAATCGTCCTTGTGGGTGTGAAGTGACAGCTCACTGTGGATTCTATTTATATTTCCCTAACGACTGACACAGTGAGTGAACGTTCACGTGCTCACGGCTGTCTGTGCATCTCCTCGGGAGAAATCATGTGGCTGTGCTTTGCATATCCACTTGCTCTGATCCGGGAATCGGTTAACACGGCATGCAGGAAGGAATGACTGGCTGGGTGACGTTTCCTTCCGCTACCCAAAAGAGAGCTCTCAGCGAGGGCTCGGCGAGGACCACACTTCATCCTGCACATTTTCAGTTCTGCCTGAAACATGATCTACCATGAAGCAGAAGGCGCGGTTCCTGTGTAGAGCTGGAAGATTCAACAAGCAGTTCTTCCCGTGGGGCATTTTCTGAATACACAGGGCCGAAACAGCATAGGAAATCTAGGTGGAAGCTTTTTACCAAGCTACCAAATATTTGAGAGGCAGGCAGAGAAAGCTCCCATCCACTGGTTAACTCCTCAGTGCCCACAGTGGCCGGGGCTGGGCCAGGCTAAAGCTGGAACTCAGGCCAGGTCTCCCATGTGGTGGCAGGAACACAAGCATTTGAGCTGCCACTGCTGCCTCCCAGGGTGTGCAACAGCAGGAATCTGGAACTTGGAGTGGAGCTGAGATTCAAGCCCAGCAGGCACTTCGAGATGGGATGTGTGCACCTCCAGGCCAACCACTGCCCTCTTTTTTAGTGGAAAAGCAGGATATTTTCTCCTCCTCAAGTGAAGCGTGCGCCAGCAGCCAGCTGCGTAAATCTTCTAGATGGCCTTCAGAGTCCTGTGGGAGCCTGAGTTGAGCCTCAGAGGAAAGCTTGCTTGCAGTGAAAGCTAGCGATGAACAACAGGCTTGCGATCCTGGGAAACTGGAGCTGAGTTACTGGGGGCCAGAGAGCGGCATGATGGAAAAACGAGGTCTGAGGAATCTGCTTCATACGCTAGCAAATCAAAGCCCCACAGAGCCTTTCCACTTTGGAGCGCCTGCAAACGGGCATTTTCCATGGAGGAGGTTAACACAGGAATCAGGGAGATTAGCAAGGGATGCCTAAGCGGATTAGAGTCCTGACAGTGTCCCTAGGCTCCCAGAAGCACCCTCGCTCAGGTATGAAGTGGGGCTGGAGGATTCCAGTTTCGAGGCAGCCGTTCTGCCTGCAGCGACTGGCACCTGGGCTGTGCTCCTGCACCTGCACGTCACAACAGGGAGTGTCTCATGATAGCGCATTTCACTCAAGCCAATTTTAAACACAGTCAAGTGTACATTAAAAACAGAGAAACGTAGGATTTTATGTCCTCTCTTCAACACCACAGTGTTCCTTTAAGAAAAAAAAAAAAAAAAGCAGACCAGGTCTCCCTTCCTAAAACACCTGCAGACAACTGAAGGGGAAGAGACGGGGAATTATTAGTTCACAGACACAAGGATATTTTGGCCACAAGAGACCTGAATATGGCTTTTTTCAACAATTAAATAGTTCGTGCATTCATTCATTCAACAAATATTCCCTGAGCTCCTACTCTGTGCCAGGTACTACTGTAGCAATGGGAAATGTGCTGGTGACCGACCGAGTCCCCGCCATCGTGGAGATCACGTGACACCAGGAGAGAACCAGAAACCAAGAAAGTAGAGATCAGTGTGACTTAGAAACACAGGGCCATGAAACCATGTGAAGGGAGACAGATTCTTCAAATGCGGTACTTCTGAAAGGGCTCTCGAGGACTCAGTGGAGTGAGGAGGCAAATCAAAGAAAGCTAAGAAGGGAAGTGCACCTGGGGCCGGAAAAAGGGCAGTGCAAAGGCCCGCAGCTGTGGCTGCCCCAGGGGGTTCAGGCCGGCACCAACAGGGCTGTGCCAAGCAGAGGCGATGACCAGGACAGGAAGTGTGGTGCCTTTTAGCCACAGAGAGGGGTTTCCATTTTATGGGAACACGGTATGAAGCCACCACAGGGCTTTCAACAGGGGAATGTGGAATCTCATTGTTCTACATTTACAGGATCATAAATGGGGAAGAGTTCCAAATAATATATGTAAATACCCCACCCTTAAGGATGTGGAGGCTAAAATCCCATTCTTTAAGTGTGACCTGCACACTTCATGCACCAAATATTTCCTGAGCTCCAAAGAGGAAAGTGTGGATAGAGGGAGACACCCAAAAACCTTTGCCTCAACCGAGGTCAACGTCAGTACTGATCAGCTGAGGAGCTGGCACTGTGGCGTAGCAGGTAAATCTATGGCTTGTGAAGCCAGCATCCCATACGGGTGCCAGTTCAAGACCCGACTGCTCCACTTCCAATCTAGTTCCATGCTAATGCTCCTAGGAAAGCAGCAGAAGTTGGCCCAAGTGCTTGCGCTCCTGCCACCCATCCTGGTTCCAGCCTGGCTCACCCTGGCTGTTGTGGCCATCTGGGGAGTGAACCAGCAAATAAGATCTAAGGCTTTCAAAATAAGTATTAAAAAAAAACAAAAAAAAAAAAAAACAAAAAAAAAAACCAGTGACCTGCATGTGCCCTTGATGCAGTGTGAGGACAGTGGCCTTTCACCTCTGCCTGCTCCAACGCCCTAAGTGCAGACAACCACGACGCAGGGCAGTCTACAGCTCCCTGACTGCTGCTCCTCAGAACTGCTAAGACTGTGACAACAAGGAAAGCCAGATATTCTCAGCCAAGAGGGGCCCAAGGCAGCATAGAACTAAATGTGACGTGGTATCCTGGACAGAAACTCGGAACACTGAAATGGACATGAGGGAGAAGCCAAGGAGAGGTGAAGAAAATGCAGACTTGAGTTAAAATAATGCACCATTTTTTTTTTTACAGGCAGAGTTAGACAGTGAGAGAGAGAGACAGAAAGGTCTTCCTTCCGCTGGTTCACCTCCCAAATGGCCGCTACAGCCGGCGCTGCGCCGATCTGAAGCCAGGAGCCAAGTGCTTCCTCCTGGTCTCCCAATTAATGTATCAGTATTGACTCATCAATTTCAACAGGCAAACTATATGAATATGTTAGTAACAGGGGAAACTGGATAGGGAACATAGGCGACTCTATACTACCTCCAACATTTTCCTGTAGATTTATGTCTTCTAAAATACAGTTTATTAAAAGCGAACAACACCGCTGTGACTACGAAGCAGGGAATGTACTGTAGTGGGATGGGAATGGAAGGAGGAGATTAGTTAGGAATCCTAGTTTTGCTACTTATCTGCAAAATGAAAATATTTACTGAGGGCGATGTGAAGATTTAATGATATAATAGAAGGAGCAGTGCAATGCTCTACAAATGTTGATTATTATAACTCAGAATGAAACTTTACTTAATAAACTTACTGTATTCCTCTGATGTACAAATACAGCAAGTAGCAGAGCCAGAACTAAAAGCAACTGAAGAC